AAAAATATCCCAAATATCCCAGCTGTGACTGTAGGGTCACCCCGCCTCCCCTCACATTACACCCAATATTTGATCCAAATTATACATTCCAATGAATCATCTAAATTTAAATAGCCTATTTGATGTAATATAGACTAATATTGATTTAATAATGAATATGGAATGTTTTTTGCACTATAGTGCATCTCACCCATAGCGTAGAGCTCCATGATGACTTTGTAGGCAGCAAGGAATCTAAAAGGAAACTGTCGGCTCTGAATAACTGCTTTCTGTGAACAAATTACAAACAGTTACGGAGAACCTGATGAGCTAATTTCAACAGCAAAACAATTTCACTCATCTTTTACTCGCTTTTTATATGCTTTAAAATAAAGATTTATAGTGTGTTTCACCTCATTGGTCAGTCTGCTGAGGATCTTGTTGTGATGAGCCTCACTGATGCCCTTAGTAATCATGTTCCTCAGATTTCTCAGCATGGCCATGAATGGAAGAGACTTGGTGTCTGCGAAGGGGAGACATTATCTGTCTGTGTGTGTGTGTAATCATGTTTATCTTTGAGTATTTGCAGGTTATGTATACACGCATGCTCTGTCTACTTTAAAGTCTGCTGTACTAAATATTAAATAACTAATTTAAACATAAAATTCATTGATGTGTTGTAAAGAGTGATTGAGGGCTTTTAACTTGAAGGAATGAAACATACTGAACACACAGAGGGAAAGATGATGCATTTTTTTTCCTATCATCATGTGCTTGGTAAAGTGATTCAGTGGTTGCACTGCTGTGGTCAACAAGCCCGTGCACGTTGTTCAGTTCAATAGAAAGCCTAAGCTTTTTGTTTTTCAGACCTATGAGCTTCTCCCAGGTGGCGGCCTTGTTGCCCTCCATACTGAGCAGCCGTTCCCACGTCTGCGGCTCCTTAAGTTTCATTCGCTGCCCAGCTCTCTCCCTGTCCCACACGCCTTTCATTCCACTGTGTGTGAATGCCTTCACATCAGCTGGATACCTGATGACAACAAAAAACACTGCATTTTTATATGCACCTGATTTCTACCTTCATTTCTCTAAAGAATAAATATCAAAGAGGGTCAAAACAGGAACTCCAACAAAAATGTGCTGCATTTTACAAAGAATTGAGTACAAATTCATTTCTCTGAGACATACCAGCTATCTTATAAATTAGAAAGGATAATGCACCTCGAGTGCAAAAAAAAGAAAACACTGCATACATTTATATTTTTAGCGAGACTTTAACTTCCTATCTCCAGCATTTATAGCCAGTACAGAAAGATTTTAATAAATGGTTCTCGAACAGATATGATGACAAGCATCTGTAAACATACAACTAAACAGAAACAAGGTGTCAATCACCAGAAAAAAATTAGGACTTGTGGACGAAGCATAATTAAACAGCATGAGAATTACATGTTTTTTTATGTGCTTATGCAACGTGAAAGGAAACAAACTCTGAAGCACAATTCTGCAGGTCTTACTTTTTCCCCAGAATGGCCATAACGTGTTCAGCCGGTTCTTTGATGTGAAGCCTCTTGATCATCTTCTTTATGCTGAACTCGCTCTGCTTCTTATCCACCACCTTTAACTGCAACTGCATCCAATCACAGACACAAATAAAGCAGCCATAGCCGACGTTTAAACAAGAGTAGAAAAACGGCTTTTCAAGAGAACAAAAGCAATATTAAAATGATGAATGAGTCATTCATTTTTTCAGTTGTTTAGCAGGAACTTTTTCAACTCAATCTGCACTAAATGATCTCACAATCTTGTCCTTTCTTTTTATATTTTAGCACTTTTCCCTTTAGGTCAGAAAAGAGTTTGCTTAATCTATGAGATCCATTACGTTTATGATTAAGCCCATTGCACAGAAGCTTGCAGCAGGAGGTGCACATCCAACTGTGCTCAGCAAAGATGTGTAGAAAATTGACATAAACAGCAAAATATAATTATTTACACGACAAAACGAAACACACATTTTAGTTTAGTTTTCACTCATAAAATCATAAAGGTGCACACTACTGGAAGGCTAGAAGCTGCAATTTCTTAGTAGTTAGCAGATTTTCATGATAAGAACAACTCATACTCTCTCTGAAACAAGTTGTTTTAGCTCTTCTCATTTTAAGTCAACTTTTTCCTGATTGGTCGTTTGTCAAAAACTGGTTTGAACAGCAGGTGTGTGGAGCTTCTGTGCTCAAGGCAAAAGGCGGTACAACTGCGTGCTAGCAAGCAAGTAATATGCCTATTACAGTAATTGGTAACATGAATCATTGTGTGATGCTCAAGATGATTTTCACTTTAAAATAACTCCATGGAAATTCTAAAGAGTTACGGCCCACCGTAGTGTTCCTCTCACTGGATTGTGTTTGGGGGGTTTGGTTGAAGCATGACTCATAAGAATGGATAATTGGTTGGTTTAGGTAGGAAGAGTGAGCCACCGGCACAGGAGAGACAGAAATATGGATTAAGTAACTTTTCCCCTTGTGCTAGTTTATTTTCTAGTGAATGAATGAATCTGTATTTTGTTTTAATTAATTGTTTTATACACACAAAACTCCATATACATATTTCTATATATACAGTTACTCTTGAAAAAGCAGGATGTTGTCTCCTCAAAAGTGTAGCCTTTTCTGCTAGTCACTGGAGCACAAGCACTATGACTTAAATATAAAACATTAAGAGAAAATAAAGTTCTGGGCCTCACTAATTAGTAAAGCCTGCTTATAGCCTTGTATATATGACAGGAAATAAGAACCAGCATAATAGGTCTATTTTAAGAAAGCACTTCATTAAACAGTAACTAAAAAAAAAAATAGAAAGACAGAAAGGAACTGAAAGGAAGTGCCTTATTTAGTGACACAACAGTAAAGTGTATTGACTTACAAAGTTCTTTAGAATTGATGCATTTGATCTGACCAAGTCCGCCCACTCCTTGATCTGTTTATCGGTTGGCTTCTGGAAGTCACAGATGCCATAATATGTGTGGTCAGATACAGATATTTAAAGCATGTATGTTTAAGAAGTGAATTTAGAGTCAGCTACACAAACACAGAAGCCACAAGCAGTTTTTTCTGGTTGAGTCAGAACTCAGTAAAAACAATAAAAGCAAAGTGTTCATCTCTAGTACTAACGTTTTTTCCCCACTAAAGAGGTGGTGAAATTAGTATTACTTGGTTAGGCCTTAATTTCCACATTGAGACCTTAAAAGTTTAGGAGAGAACATAATCACTGAATGTGTACCTTTGCTTTGCGCTTGTTGCGGTTGTGCTTACAGCGGTGCTTGCGTGTGTTGTATTTGGCCAGCTGATACTCGCTGAACTGCTTGAACTTGTCAGCCATCGCCTTCTTCAGGCACATCGGCAGAGAGCGGCTGAAGCACTGGAAACATCAGATTGTAGTGTGAAGACAGACTTGGTACATCCAGATCGTCCAGACCGTACAACAGATAATCATTATGACTTACTGTACTGTAGATTCTGACTATTTCCAGCCAATCAGACGGCAGCTGTACAGCAGCACAGAAGTATCTGCGGACATGTGGCTTGGTGGGCGGCAGGTTGGCAGCCAGAGCCAATAAGAAGTTCGCAGTGATCCGAATATTTAGCTTCTGTCGAGTGTAAAGTGCCACCTAGATTGGCGCAGACAGACCATATAATATATGATATACATGATTATGGCCCTGCTGTGTACCATTCATTAGCTGTGCTTACTCTCATGACGCACCACTTTAAATTGGTTATTTGAGAATACCTGATGTGTGTGCATCAGGGCTGAAAAATTAAGCAAACACCAAAGTGGAAACCCCCCCAAAACTGCAGTTCCCTCAATGAGCGCTTCAGCCTGGCTCCAGAAGCAATTCACTCTCACTAAAAATGCTCAACTATTAGCATTAAAAAGTAGGTTCTGGTCTCTATGAGTAATTTCCTTCTTCATAACAACTCTAAGAGGGGTGATATTTTTGTTGCTGTTGTTTTATAACTCACTCACTTTGATAGAGTTAGGGACGTGGCTAATTTAATCGGCAGACAGCTAAAACTGATTGTGCTATCCCTGACCTCTGATATGAGTGATTAAACTGGATTTTCTACTGTTTTTACCCTGTTGGACCCTTTGGGAATTTTTTTTATGGCTTATCTGATTAAAACACAACATGTGTTCAGTGGGTTCATAGTTCATCTTGAAGATATATTGGTAAGACTTACAGTTAGGTATGCAAACATAGACAGCTATAGCTGACTGCCATCTTCTAAGTCTTATCTCTGCTAACTTGAGCCACTGAACTGGACTGCTCTACCATGTTTTGCTGCTGGAACTTTGAGCATTGTTAATCACATTATCTCACTAATAATACAGCTTGTTCAGCAAAGCTGAAAGGAGAAGAAGTGGTCAAGGTAGATGAGTTTAAATACCTGACTTTAACCATCCAAAGCAATGTACAGTGCACAAGAGAGGTGAAGAAGAGAGTGCAGGCAGTGTGCAGTAGGTGGAGAGATGAGTGTTAGGAGTCGTTTGTGTCAATAGGATAGCAGCAAGAGTTAAAGGTAAGATTTATAAGATGGCAGTGAGACCCACTATGATGTATGGTTTGGAGTCTGTGCCACTGACAAAAAGACAGGAGGAGTGCCCGGGATGGACAGGATTAGAGATGAGTATATCAGCTGAGCTAAGCAATTTGGAGACAAAGTTAGAGAAGCAAAGCTGAGATAGTCTGGATGTGAAGAAGAAGGATAGCAGATACAGTGTACCAAGGATGTGCAATAAGCAGCTGCCGTAAGATTTGTGAATGACGTGAAGCAGGACATGCAGGACATGGGCTGGTGTGACTGAGGGGGATGCTAGAGACAGGGTGAGATGGAGGCAGATGATCTGGTGTAGGAGGAGGATATTTCTGTTTCAGTTTTGATCAGTCTGATTTTAGCATCTGAATGCTAACAGTATAGTCTTATCTGTACAGTTTTTGGATAAAGCTTGCAAACCAGGTTGTTACCTTTAGTTGGTAATTCAATGCTCTATCCTGTTGTCCAAATGGGATCATTTCTGGCTCTAAATAGTTAGCATGCGTACAGTGAAATAGTCTATGAAAATATTCTGAACATCCAAGAAAGTAAAGCTCTTGTTACATGTTGGGCACACCTTAATGCAAACTGACAATTTGCATGTTGGAAGCTGTGTGACCTTGTGATAAACCATGTTATTTTTTTATCTTGGGTTGAACTAAAGACATTCGTAAATTCAACCAACAATACAGGCTTGTGGGAATTAATTGGTCTGGAAAGTCTTTGCAGATCTCCTCATGACCTACATGAGGAGACTGTAAAAGAGTTAGCTAATTTGCATGTAGCTAGTAATGCACTCATTTATAACAACACATTTGTGCAGGCAATATTTTCCTGAAACAGAGCAATAATTTAATATTGCCTGTGATATATACAGTCATAGTAGATTTATCCCGTTGTCACATGGTGTTGAGTGTTTATCTGTTTTGTTTTGTTTTAATTTGCTTTTCTACCACATTGACATGATAATGGAGTCCTGGTGGAGTTAAAATATTAAAAATTTAGTTCCCATGCATACCTTCAGAAGAAACTGTGGGTCATAGGCAGAAATATCCTTTGCCAGGTTTGTGATTCTGGTCCAAACACTGTCCTCTGAGTCCCAGTCCTTCTGGCCTGGAGCTGTGCTCTCATTGACCAGAGAGCAACACACAATGTTCAAGAGGAAATACTGAAGGACAGACAAAGACAAGGAGTCACTTTAATCAGCACCCAGGAGTTCAACACAAATAAATTATTCTCTATAACCTTTTTGTCTTTCAGCTCCTCTTCGGCCTTCTCGTTTCCTCTTTCGACCTCTCCAAATTCCTCCTGTCTGACAACCTCGGTTTGTTCAAATTCTTGTTCCATCAACTCTGTTTCCAGTACAGGCAAGTCCATAGTTTTCTCAGCATCAATTTCGTCAGCCTCATTATCTTCATCCTCAGAAATCTGCTTGTGCAGAACAAATTAAATTACAAATGACATGCAACAAAAGTTTTAATAAAATTTGATGTGTTATGATTTTATGTTTAAAGAGGAATGAGGAATATTTCATGTACCACACTTGTTTCTTCAAAACTGAAAGGCATCACTTCAGATATCTCATATCTATCATCTGGATCCCCTCCATCATTCCTTTTCTCTTCTTTACTCATGAGATGATGGTGGAAGAATGAAGGAGTTTGAGCAAAGTTAGTGAGTAGAGCACCACTGGCCAGGGATGTGGGGAGCAAAGAGTCATTAGGGACTGAGGAGGTCAAGGAAAAAGAATGATGAGATAAGTTACTGTCTAGGAGCTTGTTCTGGGTGCTTAGGAGGGGAGAAGTGAAGGAGGCTGCGAAGGAAGAGGTGGAGAGAAGGGAGGATGAGGTGGAAGATAGTTTGGAGGGTTGGAGAGAGGAGCAAGAGGAAGGCTGTGCTGCAAAATCTATGAGTGGGGAGGAAAGCTGGGGCATTATTGTGGAGGTTTGAGCTAAGAACTTATTCTCCAGACTTGGGGGAGAATAATTTGAAGTCAAACTTCTCCCACATGTTGCCTGCTGCTGCTTCTGCACTCCTGGGGCCAGGCTTGCTGACTGCAAAGTCAGAGCACTCATCTGCAAAAAAAGAGAGATCAGAATGTCAAAAGCCACTCCTCTCCTCTCAGTCACAAGCCATATAATCCTAGAAAGCACAGTGTATTGAGTGGCAGGATTCCTTCTACTGTTTGAACAAGCACTGTTTTATTGTATCTAAGGGCGTGAACCATATTACAGGAACAAAGTCTAAAAACATGATGCCCAACAGACTGTAGATAGTGTCGGTGGGAAACATACAGAATAATGCATGAATAACATACAGAAATGTGAACAAATATAAATATGTCAAATATAAATACAAATATAAAGGGGCCTTGAAGCAGACCGCAAACACAGCTCGAAACTAAAGTAAAACTTGCTAAACTGACACATAATTGGGACTACGACGTTTAAACTTGGTGCGGGGATCTCCAGAGTTTGTTTTGGATAAAAAAAACAAAACAAAACAAAAACAACAACTCATGTTATGTCATCGATTTGACAATTATCCATATATAAAGAACAAGAATAAGGGCAGTAAAATCAGCCACCAAAGTCAGAAATAAAACAAACACTGATATAAGTTATAGGGAAAGAACATTAGCTGCAATGAATGAACTGCCAAATGCAAACACAGCACAACATTTGCAGCTGAATTCAATATGGGAGCAAATGTTTCGTTCTTTGCAGTGACTCAAGTTTTCATAGGCGTGGTTAGCTACAAGGACGATTGCTAGACACAGGAAACTCACCGCAAAACCCACAATTTCAACTCCGTGGGTAGAGAGTTTGATATACAACGTTTCCGTCAGACGTTATTTTCTGTTTCGAAGCCCCTTCAAGTCAAGAGTAACCACTGATTTCCTGTAAACGGCTGTCATACAAACACCTGTCCTGTCAGCCGGCTATCAAAAGACCAGTGATTGGTCAGAATACTGTGTTCGTAATACGATTTTTTTTTTTTACCGTAATACCGGACATATGGGTGTCGACCAGAAAAGAACAACTGTCACGCGCAATAAATTCAGATATATTTATTTGAAAAAGATAACAATCTTAGATAAACATATAACACCATAAAACATATCTAAGCTGTTTAATGTTCAAATAATAAAGTCATTATGGATGATGAAGTTACCGTAAATGCCGGACTGAGGCACAAAGAGGAAACGCAAACGCTCTATTTCCGCTGCAGCAGCCAGAACGGGTACATCAAAAAAGAAAGGAAAATGTGGATAGTGAGGACGAACTGAGGCCGGAGGAGACACGTCGAACTTCAACTACTCCTTTCACAAGGCCACGTTACTGGGCAGTTGGGATTATTTAAACTGTCCATCCGAGTATTTTACCATATTACGGGTCGTTTCGAAGTTAATCCGTCCACCTCGTTCTGTGGTAGTTTGTTTTGAGGAAGCAGCGCGGCTAGCCAGCTCAATTAGCCTACCAGAGATGGGGACGAGAACGAGTCGCCTACACGAAGACACGGTTTCCTCAGCTTTCGGGAAAGATGGGACAAAGCGGGATTCCTGTCGGCGACATCGCTGCACGAGGCCCACCAGCCTCGTTGTCGACTTTTCGGTGAGCTTCGATGACACTGAGGCTAACCGAAGCCGATCGGAGGAGGGTAGTGACTCGGACCCGGGGCAGCTCGGAGCGAGCGCGGACGGCAGCCCTGCTGACCACCACAGCATCCCCTCTAGCATTGGCCAGGCGTCACCCGGGGACGACGACAACAGCGAGGGGAAACCCGAGGAAGACGGCAATGTTAGTCCAGAGGCTCCCGTCGACGCAGAACACCAGCAGGTTGAGGAGACAGGCCGCACACCACACCGCACCTTTTCCGAGCGGCTGCCCGGGAATCGGCACTCTGCCACCCGTGTTGGCGCAAGGTCCGCCCGTGTTCGAAGCACACACCAGCGGCCGGTGTCAGAGGCTTGGATCGGCCTTTACCGTTTGAACAATCGCCACGGCAGTAAGTTAACATCTAAACAGCACCAGATAGATATGTATATATATATTTTTTAAATACAATCTGTAGCATTTGCGCCACATAAATGACATTTCCTTAGTAACGGGGCTGGTCTGCACCAGTAATTGTGGTTTGGCTCGTTTTTAGATGCCAGGAACGCTTGCATACAGCTAGGCGTTTTTCCACAGAAGCTACATAAAATCCATGGATGTGTTGGAGCTTGAAGATGACGGGAAAAGATTGCGCAATACCTGAGGAGAAGGGGGGGAAATGTGGGGGTTGACTGTGCTTTCATTAGACAGCTGATGTTAATCTGAAGTCAGACAAAATAATAACACAGGGCTATTAAAACCTTGACTAAGAGAAAAATGCAACTGTTGCATCCTTAAGTAAAAGACATGGTTTTTTTTTTTATATAACAACATCATAAATGCCACAGTGCAACCCTCAATCAAGCCAGTCTGGAATGAAATGGATTTGCTGAGGAATTTACATTCTTGGACAGATAATCTTTTTTTTTTTCTCCCCCTGCTCGCATGCTGACTAAAATAATCAGAGGACCTATTGTATGAAGCAGACCTGTGGCATAAAACTGGAAGTGATGATATACAAGTCCATTCAGTTCACAAGGCCTGCTGACAGTGGCTGTCCGTGGTAAATCCTGCAGCATGAAAGTCTTAAGCAACAAACTGCCTTTTTTTTTTTTCTTTAAAAAAAGAACTTGCATTAAAATTGGAACATTAGTGTGCAGAGGAAGCCAAAAAAAATTGCACTTGTCTCGGCCTGCATTAGATAATCAGATGAATAGAGATGGTGGAGATGTGACGGCAAGCGTGACATTTTGAGCCAACACAGAGCAGTGTGGTGGATTTCCCAGGCCAGCCCTCTAGCAAGTGTAGGGAAATGGGTCACAACTGCACATGCCTGCTCACTGCTGGCAGCGAATCATAGATGGAGGAGGCAAATGTAGGGCAGCGAGGCACTGTTTCTGCCTGGCTGTCGTATCTACGAATGGCTCGAGCAGTGGCCATCCCTCAAGACTGAGTCAGTGTTTTGAGCAGTGAGTACAGTCAAATAACGCTATTTCAGGTCAGTTACACTCAGGGCAACGTCTTTCTCACCATCTCAGGCATGGGAACGCCTCATTTAGCATGTGTGTTTCAGGCTGCTCTTTGGTTTGCGGTTTCAGCTTGTGCAACCTAGATGTCCAAACACAGCACTTGTGCTCAGAGCGCATCATCTATCATTTACATCGCGCTGTGACACACCGTGTTAATCTTGGGTCTGTTGTGTCTGTGCCCTCTACAGATATCCGCTGTCCTTTCTGCTCAAAGCCTTTCCCGGGGGGTCGGATTGAGGATCACCTGTTGAGTTGCCTCACATCTCCTCCTCTACCTTACAACAGTAAGTATCGTGCCACTAAAATACTCCTACAGCTGTGTTTATTAAAAGGCTGGTGACTTAATGTCAGGGTTTTTTCCTATGCATAAAAAAAAAACACATTCTGGCACTCATCAAAGTGCCCTTTGTGATCTTCTCTTCTGGAAAGTTCAAAGTCTCTGACAAAAATATGAGCAACACTTTATTTTTAAGTAGGCTTTAATTTAATCAAGTCAAAAAAGAAACTTTTGTTCATCAAACTGAACATAATAAGAGGAACATTCAGACTTCTGTAGACTCATTGCCTTTGCTATATATGGACTGGTTACATGCATTGCCATTCCCCAGAGGGCCATTTTTAGCCTGGAAAAACCCTGATTGTTGATTTGTGTGTTTGTGCATTTACAGCGGATGTGCTCAGTAAAGACAGTGGAGAGTGTTCCATCTGTTTGGAGGATTTGGTACAGGGAGAGACCATCGCCAGACTGGCCTGCCTTTGCGTCTACCACAAGAGGTATGAATGGAATTAAAATAAAATGTAGGGCAGATAAGCTTGTTTCTTCGCTTGGGACAAAACGTGACATTAAAAGTAAACTCACTGGGCAAATGTGGTGGTTTCCAGAGCTGACATCTATCTGAAACAAGGATGCAAAAGTTGTTCTGTACTAGTGTGTATCGTATATAGAGCTACACTTTTCTGAGAATTACAGATCGGTTGCTCATGTCCCAGATAACATGTGCCAGACTCAACTCTGTAATTCCATCTAAAGTGATGGAATTGGGAAGCCTTGTTTTGAAATTTGAGATAAAATGGATTAAAGCCAAACATGTGTTCACATTATTTTGACTTATTATTATGCTCATTTCCTGCTGTATGTATTTAATTTATTTAAACTTTGGCCACGTTTAATAAGAGCATCCTCCATTATAAATATGTGACAGAAAAAAAGGGAAGACTTTAAATATTTTTTCAGTAAGAGCTTTAACAACTGTGAAAACACATGCAGGATTATTGCATTTTAATTTGACAGATGTGAGCACAGTGTTTTTTAAGTGGCAATGACATTTCTAGGAAAAAACTAACTGACTATCAACTTTCATAATGTGTTTCAGCCCATTTGACATTTTTAAAACGTGCTGTAATGCTCAACGCTTTATTTTTTTGTAACTTCCAAGGAATTAATGACATTTCTAGGAGATTT